TTACAACATTAATGACTGGTCTATACCACGTCACTGTTGGTTCCTTTTTCATAATATCGTTAACGAATCATTAAATTATCTTGTCATAGTATCCATGCTCGTGAAAACTAGTGATATATACTGTCAGATCTTTGAAAGCAAACATCATTATTGCGTGTTATATCCCAATTAATATATGATTCCTTGTACAACTATGTCCTGTCATTTACAACGACCATTAATGCCATTAAAAATAGCTAATTAATGTTAACTACATATTTTGATGTCTTTTGTAGATTTGAACTGAAAATAAGCTATTCATTATCCACATCACATTTCCTTATAATTGTACAGCAACAATAAAGACGTCGTGAATGACAGATATCATATATATATATATATACATGCAGTGGCATTACCGGACAAATTAAACAGGAAAATTGTCTCTAGATATATACGCCCTGCAGCAACACTTGACTTGATAAAATCAAAGTGTCTCACACTTTTCAGGGTTGCATGCTTATTCATCCCCGACTTTAAAAAATAAAAGTAATTTATACCGTGAGAGGAAGCAGTTTCCCTAACATGTGCTATGAACATCATCAAAGACATCAAAGCTTGTCGATTTCACCGTCATGCTGCTACGCGATAAATTGATGCGTTGCACTTTAAATGTGTGTACAGTGTATTTCAAATATCCAGAACTAGTTACACCAAATGTCACGTACAATGGCTTCGATCCTTTATGGTAGCGTATCAGGATGCTGACGGGAGACTCTGCATTTTAAAGACATCTTTGTTTAAAAATAACACGAACATTCACGAGAGAAGTACAAAATTTTCTCATTAAAGGACACTTTATTCACATACCAAATGGTGGCCATCTTGGATTTCATTCCACTAAAAATGTCTTTATAAGTGAAAGTGATGGAAATATGTACAATCGTCACACGGATTTATCGTTTCATCGCACGACAATAAATATTTGATCCCCAATAATAGTACAGTTAAATCATTGGGGTTATTTTTTAGGGATGGGGTGGGGGCTCAACTTTCGAGCTTTTTAAAAATATCACTATTTCGCGGACACTTGATTTTAGAGAATATCTTGTGCTAAATAAATATAGTGATAAATATCAACCTTAGCAGCCACAGTTTCGTGAGCATACATTTGCCTGAATAAAACATCTTTTAGTCAACAGTATTGTACAGTTTAAGAAGCTGGCCTGCCATATTTTTTTCCGGGTTAAGTATCATAATGCATGTAGTCAATACTTTGTATTGAAAAATCCCCGCTCGCATAAATTGTAAAATAATAGATAATCTATGTAAAGCTAGATAACACCAGACCTTGCGCGGGAACTTGTTGAACAGCTGTTACCGTATGCGGGGTTGTGGATGCAATGCTATCAACCTTTGTCAAAATTCACCTTTAGTTAAGGTATCATTAAAACAAGGCAATAAATAATGCGACAGGTGTGGTTTTTATTGAAACCTTATTGTTGTGTAGAGATGATATTGACGTAAATATCAAAGAAAATTATTTCACAGATATCTCTTCCATGCTGAGTAATTATTATTTTAATTCAAGTTTTTAATTTCTCATTTTATCTGTGATCAAAGTTGTCTTGAAATGTGACACATATCTACCTATGCAGCGATTGCTTTGCTTGCTTGTTTGTTTGTTGGGTTTAACGACCAGTGTCATTTTGAGTCAGGGTCTCCTTGAAGGAGTTGGTGGCTACCTCACTGAACAACATACGTGAGGCCCGTCTTTTGCCACCCAGAGCAAGAACGGTGATATTTCTTGTCGAAGGACACAACCATGACAGCTCAGACTGTTTCTCAACTTCCTGAAACACACAAACCACCACGTCTAGGGAGCATCGAACCACGCGCCACACCGTCTGAGCCATCCATTCAATTTCTTTATTCCGGAAGCCTTATGACTTATTAGATTCAACAATGTACATGGAGTATTATAAAGTTCGAGTGATATCTATTCATTCGTACACCCTAGCCTATGCACACTCTGATACCTTAGCACACTTAACCAACTACATAAGTACTTTTGTAATTTCTCGCACTTAGAACCTATTACACAGGAGAGTGATTGAACAACAATATTGGTAACGTTAACAAAGATTGTAAAGAGAGATATTTTACAGTGCTTATATACGTCGTTTAAATGCTACATGTAAGAATTTCCCTAATTACCTATTTCTTTGACACTATTGACACATAGTAACTGGATAAGATCAAATACGCTAGGTTTACGCAAGTAATACCATTTCAAATATTTAATACGCAAATATGAATGAAATGGACACTTTAAAATAAACTGAAATTCGTCTTTAGTGTCATAAATATCTCATAAGGTACAAAGTCAATTTGCTTTGGCAGTGTTGGTAGATCTTCCAGCTTCTACATTAAGTTTACGTGACGACAATCTTATTCGTGTTTTTCATTATACCGATGGTCAATATGTTTTCTTAAGTAAAATTACATCACAAAATCATCTATCTGATGTTTGTAGAGTTACGAATACTGCCTAACAGCTCCTGAATGTGGATTTCATGAAATTTCTTAATCACCTTGTATAGTACTTTTTTATCATAACTATCCCATAGGTACCCTTACCCTGATTTGTCTAATTCTTATTTCATACTTACCATCCGATTATCGTTATCTAACAATCTCTGATCGTAAAATGTTTTCAATACACGATTTTTAGTATCAACTATTCAAGGGGCCCTCTGCCGTAACTCACTACAATAACATTTCTTTCATGATATTTCATTGTAACACGTTATCACTTTTACAATCACTGCCAGTAAAGATAGCCAATGGTAGGAAACGGTAAAGTTTTTGAAAACTTTAGACTTCCTTTGAATATTGACTTACCACTGTGTGCGAAATAGAATTCATTCACAACTGTTTTGTTGTTAACTTTAATGAAATGCAGCTGCTGTCTCATTTTTGCAAAAAAAAAAAAAAAAAAATAAATAAAAATTAGATATCTTATGTAAAAATGGAAATAGGATATTCTCCTGCGAAGAAATTCCCGTGCAACAACAACAACAACAACAACAACAACAACAACAATAACAAATCATTGTCATAATCACAACAACTGAACATCTCGACACAAAATTTCAATGACTATTTGTCGTTCAGTGTTTTGGATGACAGTCATTTGCCGCGAAAGTGTAACACAGCAGCAGGGATACCGGTAAATATTCACGGTATTATAAAAATAGAAACGCTATCGACCTAGCGAAACGTCAATTCCGGACAGCATGCTGTTGTGCAACAACTGTTCATATTACATCACTGAAACAAATGTGATTTAGTAAACATACATATCTCTTGATTTAGATTTTCTGAATGACGTAAAATTGTCGATATTCGTCATGAAACATCATAAAATGATTAAAAAAAAACAATCAGTCTGACGCTGTCCACATTACCAGACGCCGAATTACTTGTAATTTTCTTCTAAAAATATCATTTTACGACATGTACGCGATTCAACTTAATAAAGTGTTAAAATGACAAATTAATACCTCGTGTGATATTTCTTTCATGTCTTCCTGTCATATGTTGCAGACAAACTGTAAAATTGATAAGATTTGTGGCATTGAATCCGATCATTACTTTTTGACTGTGAAGTTAACTGGACAAACCAATCTTCGTCGAGACAAAGAAAACACAGATAGAGAGGAACATTCAATGTCAAAATGGCTGAAACAGGTTGCGAAACATAGGGGAAAAGACAGATTTACACTTACATAGAAATCCTTCAAAAAGTTACAAGAAAATAAAACGGAGTGATTGACGATACCCGTTTTGTAAATCTTAATCAGTGAAACAAACAAATGTTGAGTTCTAAAATTAGAGTCCGGTTTTTAGCAACGAGGTAGTAGATACAAGCATCGAACCCATTGATATCGCGCAAAGGGTGAATGTGACTATGAAATATCCTTGTAGTCTCCATTCATATGTCAGCTGTCAAACGCAACATGTTAACACCGATGTTTGTGGAAGTAGAAACATTACTGTCTAGAAAATGTAAATTCTCAATAGGAAAATTGAATCATGCTTACCGTACAGGGAAAGTTACTATTGGTTTTAGAGACTGACCTAAACAATTACCGCCGAGTTTAAAAAGTTTGAATGATCTATCGCAAGTCTCGCCAACTATATAATCTGCACTGGCATATCAACAACTCAATCCGCCAAAACTAGCACGTGAAATACCGAAAAGTTATAGGAAAGGAATGCTTTAGATGGATAGAAAACGATCCCTCCACGATATACATCCTACGTGCACGTGTCCCACCCACGCCACATGCACACCAAAGTACGGTTCGTCCTGGATGCAAAACGAGAGTTTCAGCTGTAGCTGTTCTGGGACACACCTCTGATTTTGAATTCGGTTATGTAATATCCAAAAACTAGAAACAATAGGCCAATTATCATCAATTTTATATTAAATCAATATAGGTATAAAACACATACTTTATTTTTTGTTCCATTCTTCATGACAGGTGTGTGAGGGTGTGTGTGTGTGTGTGAGTGTGTTGGCTCTCAATGTAACGATTTCGTTCCGTTTAATTTTCCATTCGAAGCTGTAATAAAATTGTTAAACCAGTTTTCCAATTTATTGGACACAATGTCATCCTTTACGTTTTAACATTTGTCAGCTCTGAGTGATATATGTTCATTGCCTTATCGATTTCAAATTCATGAAGTGACTTAATTGTTCAACTGCGTTTTTAAAATATGGTTTGGCTTCGTCTTCTTTGATTAATGCCGAAAATAAAGCCACAACACTCTTAAAAGCCTATATGTTTCAAACTGCCAGCAGTTCTTAGTGATATTTACGACACCGAACAAATTCGTATGAATGGTGATCAACAACGCAGAAATTGTATCCCTCGCTTGTCAGAATCCTTTAGTAATGTACTCTGCCAAAAGGTCAAAGCGGACATAACTATCGATTCTGCATGCACACTTACCGTACCATCGGAAGGGAAAAATGATTGTGCTAGATTTCAGACATGATCACCGTAATCCCGGAACATGTGTCCATGTAGGTTCCCGGTTTCCCGTCAGAGTCCCCGATCTCTCTAAAAGCCGTCCATGCACATGTGACTTGGGTGATTCGCGTTGAACAGAGACCTTTTGTACACTGACCTGAGAGAGAGCTTTGGTGAATAGATTCACTATAAATTCCAGTCCGTCTATTTACGTGAGGAAGGTCAGACTAACACATCACCGGCGACGGAACGTCGATTTTAAGTCACGTAATGTGATCTCGCTATTAAAAACTACATTAGACAACTATTTTCCTCTGATGATACTACATGTCTCCAAGATGATATAAAACTAAAAACAATCGTTGATTTCACTCAATTTGTTTATTCCCTAAATCCGCATTTGCGAGTCTATAATTAAACCATTTCTATAAAAATGGCAGACTAATATAGCATGTTCAGGTAGGCGACAGTCGGCGATATTCCATCAAGTGTACACATGGGTATCATACTGGTTCCACGGAATGGCCTATTAACATGATAAAGTCTGCGGAGAGAAAGGTCGTGTACATATGTAATGGTACGCTTAATCAATAACACATTCTCCTAAAGCATTGATATGATATATAGCCATCTAATTCGTCAAATGTTATTCATTATCACCTGGAATATCTTTCCCGCTTCAGAGAAAGTGAGAGAAACAGGATTGAGGAGAATGCATTAATACCATCGTAATTCGGTTTAGTGGGTATTTTTGGGCCTCCTCTGGCGCGAGGTGGGTGGAGGGGGAGGTGTGTGCAAAGCGAAACGCGGGGCGGGAAAATGTCACATAACGTTCATCTTGCATTTTATGCTACCCATGTCAAGTTGTGTTTCCAAGGAAACTGAGAAACAAAGACGACATGCAACGGACCTCCCGTATGTTGTACAGTGAGGTGGCTACCGGCTACTACAAACAAGACTCTGGCTTGAAATGACCCCGGCTGTCAATGGGGTGATAAACCCAATAACAACGTAATCGTGGATGCTAATTGAAAGAACTGGATTGGCTCCCAGTTAACCATCTTGAATTTTAACGGTAAAACTTTCTTTCAAAACGCCTTGAATTACTAGTAATCTTTTCTTGATTGTTCATGTTCAATATTTTGAGGATAAAATTACCTTAATACATAAATGAGAGCATTTATCAACTTTCTCTACTAGTATATCTTTTTATTGATTAGGAAATGGTTAGCCTTGATCCTTAGATATACAACCATGTTTATAACCATTCATAGGAACCACGTGACACGCCAGAGTGGCTATTTTTGTATCCGTGTGTTATCATACCACGAGGATAAAAAGACGGATAAAAATGCACGCGCGTACGATGACGAAATTATCGATAAAATGTTGAAATCGAAACTAATTTTGCTGAAATGCTCGATAAAGTATATATGAATAATTTACCTGTATAGGTTTGTTCCAATAAAAACAACAACAAAATATTTAATTCTGTAATTAAGGCATTTCCATGTTAGTCCATTTCTATTCCAACCAAAGGCCAGCTTATTTATAACGGTTTTTCCTTTAAACTATTGGCTTTTATCGACTTTCAAGGTCACCAAGGGTATAAGAGTCTCATACGTCTTCTTTCATAAGGCCAGAAACGTGCTGCAATGAAGGACTAGTTTGTCTGAATGAATTACCTTGACCCACTTACTTTCGATGTCACAGAGGTCGAATAGTCAAAATCTGTATAAACTTCTCCAACAAAATTTTCTCTGCGTAAGCTGAGCAATACAGGCGCAGTGGGCCTCTTGTTTAATTTTATAGGATGACGGACATTTTCCGCGTAAACATCTATATGATTATTTCTATCATCGATATGTATATAAACCTCATCCAAGCAAGAACTGATTCATTATTAACGTAAGTGAGTCGTTCCTCTACCATGAGAATGTGTCCATTATATTATACGTTCCGATAAAACAGCTGTTCGATTTGACATCGTTTTCAATTAATGACGCGGAACACGGAACACATATTACTCTAAAATTAGTTTCACGATAGGCGGTTAATCTATATTTCATTAAGGACTTTTCCCCCAGAACTCATTATCAATGACATGTATGTCGGGACAGTCTGGCTAGCGTTTATGTAGAGGTTTCTGTTTTCTTGCAAATGCGATTCCCAAGAGAGGCAGAAGAAAAGATTAATAATCCCGAGCACTTAACTCTGTCACGAGCTCTTGTAGTCTATTAGTGTTTATGAATATTCATTAATCTTATCTGGGGTATTGTTCACTTGTATTAGTGTAACAATTAGAGAAATACAAATTAAATAATTGCACGTGTTAATTATTTTTTCAAGTAGAGAGTCTTGAACAAGGAAATTATTTTGAGCATTGAGAGCACACGGAACTCAGTTTTTACTCTGGGTTTGGTGACGACTGGGATCTTTTCTACACCAGACGAAGTGTTATTATCTTTGATGAAGAAATGAAGCGAAAAATCTGAGAGGGAATGTCCTCATACGATTTGGTTGAAATATTATGCAGCAGAAATTGCTTTAGACGATCTGATTATTTTGAACATCAATCAAGTACGAAACTGACATCAATAATACTTGGCGTTCGTTTATAGAACAAGAGAAATGTGGCGTGCTTTGTGACATGTAACATGAAAGAAAAATGTCTTCCTCCGACACTGAACCTCGGCCGTCCATTAATTTTACGTCATGTTAAATAACAACAGAATATCATTTTGTCAACAGTCTCATTTTAAACAAAATCGATAAAGAGAGAAAAAATAGTCTGAAAAAAGAATAAGGGAATCAGGTGTTACGAAAAGGTAAGTGTCTGTTTCGATGACGACACCAGAAACGTCAATCAATGTTTGAGATGTTTCCGCTTGGTTTTCGAAATCGGGATCAAATTTTGAAAAAACAAAATGAAACCATTAAATATACTATCCAGTAGTATGAGTAAGACACATCTTACAAAAAACAGAACATTTCCCTATGAGACCATGATGGAAATTCCTTGGCATGTGTTATACATTCTCACGTAAGCTGTTGATGCGGAAATTACATTCGGAACTTCGTGGAGAGATATTTTTGTTGGTTGCGTTATAAGCAAAGAGTCTCGAGTGTCCTCATTTTCAATTTTTTTATTCAATGAACGTGATTACAAATTTATTGTTACAAGACATTATCACAATCCAAGTAAGAGGTGAAATTGAAGGAAAGGTCACGCGAACTCTTCGATACAATGTCCACAAAAGAGAGACACAGCTCGTTCCAATTGGTAGTCTGTTGGAATATCTTGCCGCCAAAATCAACAAAACTATATATAGTCAGTCAGAAATTTAATCTTTTTGCACGATTTCATCCTCATCTTGACTTAAGATTTTTTCCCGACATACACCTAGTGTTGTTCACAGCCGTATGCTTAAGATAAATTTAAAGCTTTATTTTGTAAAGAAAAATTCAAAGCTTCCTGCAAAAGTCACATCATTTAAATTGGTTGATATAGACTGTTACATAGATTTTAAAGTGTAAAGAATGGTAGTAGGAAGCTTGTATAATGACTGGGTTGATGAACTGGTCAAGCTAGCAATACATGATGATGCAGATCCCAGTCATTTACCGGTAATCAGGAAGACTGCAATACTGAAACATGAGTAGCTGTACTTTTGCATCTTGTGTTAAGTTTGTTGGCAAGTAGGAATTCTTAGATTAACGTCGACCTTCAGGTCAGGAACTGTTTTGTCGTTATCCAGACAATGAAGACCACGTTTAGAACATGTTTCACACATATAATTATGTCGAACATCTCTCGTCTCGTACATGGTAGCAAGTTGAACAGCTAGAAATGTTTTTTTTTTTTAGGAATTGACAATGCCCATCAGGTACGCTGATTCCTAATGGTTCAGATTCTATGTATAGATTAGCACAGACTGATACGTTTAAGAATCGGTCTGAAGGCATAAACGGATATCGTTCATGTTATTTATGTTATTTGAGTTTGAAGTGTTTATGATCAGAGTAGCGCAAATTTCCACTGAATTAAACATAGACTTTACACATTTGGACGGATGAACGTCCTACTCATTCTGCAAGAGGCTCCATGGGCCTGCATCGCTTGCCTGATCATCAATGTGTTTTAAAAATACATTGATATTTCACACCATTGTCATTCAACGTATTGGACATTTAGAAGTCGTTTGAAGATTTTCATGAATTTGAGCCATATGACATTGAATACAGGTCAAGGTAATTCCTTCTCCCATGCTTTGTCGAACTTTTCCCCAGGGACCTATCAGCCCAATACCAAGATTCTTGGCCATTTGGTTAATCGGAAGAAGTTAACCCCTTTGACCGTAACTATAGGTCTAGATATTTCTTTTTCGCAAACATTGTCGGTGTTCATTCTATTAATATTCCATCAACATCGTGATTCTTTTTTTTTCAATTTGTCTGAGCGTTTCCGCAAATTTTGATCTTGCAGATGGTTCAAGGGCCATTTTTTCAGATGAGATTTGAAGGTTTTCACAACTTTGACCGCTGTGATCTTAGATATGGACCAAGGTTACTTCTGTTTACAATCTCTATTTGGCTTCATTTAAGGGATCCCAGCCAAATATCATTCTAGGCCTTGTTATTTATCAAAATAAGTGTAAAGGTTCTCACTTCACAAATTAGACCTCTGTGAACTTAAAAAATGGTCAAGGTCATTCATTTTGTAAATGTCAGGCTTCAACAATTGTACCTATCAATTAAATGTCATAATTCTAGTCCTTTTGGCTATTCAGAAGAAATCATTTGAAGGTTTCAAATACTCAAATACATCTGTATCAATGTGTTTCAAATTTAATTTCATGAAGGCTTGATCCATTCAAATGCAGTTAACATATAGTAGACAACACTTATGATGCTCAAAACATATTTTAGATATTTGTCAATGTTATATGAATGACCCGGGAATATTATCTGACCCATTTATGAGACAAAGAATATCTCTAATGTATGTTCACAATGCATGTCACTACGTGCTGCATTCCACTCCTTGTTCAATGGAAGTAACTATAAGTCAGCCTCTACAGAATTGGGGGTTTCATTCTGTGTCCTGAACTAAGGGGATGTTGAGACCAGAATAGACCTGGTGTTCCCATAACTTAGGATATTAATCTTTACCTTTTATTTCCTGTCTGCTATACTTCTTCAGTTTTATGCCCCGCAAGTGAATTGAGTTCATGCACCATAAGAAATGGGATTTAAAAGGTAGCTCTGTGATATACCTTCATCAATTATTGGAATATATTTAAAATCCCCTGTTTTTCAGTTGATTAGAAATTGTACTTTAAATTATGTACAGTAGTTAAGTTTTATTTTTACGGAGTAATGATATGGAAGTTTCTTTTTCGTGATTTCAATGATGTAGGGAAAATAAAACTCAGGGATATATAACCGCTGTACAAGAATTTGTAACTTCAGGAAGTCATCATTTATTTTAGATAACTGTAATGTGAATTGACTTGTAAAATATCTTAAACATTACTTTGGGAAGATTGTGTTGAATTAATTGATGGAATTGTTGTCATAAAAACTTGGATACATGACATGTTAAAATCTGTCTCACCAAAAGGACTTAAAGGGCCAGAATAACATTCTAGGGAGCACACTGAACCCAACAGGTGAATACAAATTTGTCACATTTGATATATATGTAACACAACAATAACAGTTGCATTTTTGGATTTTCTGTTATCTATTTGTATATTTCTCTTTATTCTTATATCACAGACTAATTTCCCCGACTACCCAGAAAATGATGAATTGCCACTTCTACCTGCCAAGTTATTTATGTCTGTAGTTTCACACATGCATATATTAGAAGTTATGTCTGCTGAGCAGACACCAGCAAGGTAATGGATGTTCTCTCAAGCTGATATTGATCCTGAATTGGTCTAGAGCACCTTTGTATAAATAGGTATTAAGATCAAGCTTTCCGGAGACCTTACTCTTTATTTACAGTGTAGATGTCTTACCCCTGGGGTAAAGGAAGGTGACATGTACTTTCAATTTCTACTCTTTTGCGGTCGTTAGAGTCTCCCAATTCAAAGACATCATTATCAAAACTCATGTTTTCAAAGAAATCACATATTCTCCTATGTAGCATGCACTTTTAGTGGTCCAGAACATCCTCAATTTTCCCCGGTATTGATCAGTTTTGCTCTCTGCACACCTTGAACATGCCGTGGCAAAAATCAAAGGCACAAGTGAAGTAATTTGATTGATTCCAGGAGAAAGAAAACTGACCAATCACAGACTGATATGCTCCTTTTGAAGAGTACAGAGGAGTGACAACCAACTTCAAAGCCATTACAATATACTGTTATGCAAGCTGGAGACTCGTTTGAAGTACACCACAGGATGTCTACCCCTACTGTGTCTAAATTGATGACCAATCAATAGTGAAAATCCTACCAATACAACATTACAAAACTTCTTAACTTCGGTCTCTTCGATCAATGAAACTCATATCCCACATATCAATCTGATACTGGTGTATCCTCTCCATTTATCAAAATATTTTCACCATCTCTAAATTTATCTTCAATGATGATAAGATCGTGTATTGTTGTTAGAAGACCTTTTGATGTTTTTAGATATGCTAAGCATGGTGCATAGTAACAAGAGGCCCAAGGGGCCTTAACGGTCACCTGAGGAATATATGTCAATAATCTGGGGATTTTAAAATGTTGAAAAAATGTAACAACACTTGTGCAGGACCATGTGTAAAACATCTGCACCAAGTTTGAACATGACCCACCCAATGGTTCTTGAGAGGAAGTCCATAATGTCTTAGCCAAACAGAGGCCAGGGTGGCCATCTTGGATTTTGAATCGCCCCAAAAAGTTAAAACACTTGCCAGGACCTTGTGTAGAACATTCGTATCAAGTTTCCCTTGTTCCCCCTCCTGGGGCCCCTATTGGGGCCACACTTTTTTCTTTGCAAACTTGAAGCGGCTTCCCATGGGGATGCTTTGTGCCAAGTTTTGTCAATATCCATCCAATGGTTCTTGAGAAGAAGGTTTTTACATATGGCCCCTTTAACACCCCTTATGGGTCCCAAAGGAGACATAATCACTTTTTTCAACATAATTTCATATGTACTTCACTAAGGGATGCTTTCTACCAAGTTTGGTTGAAATCGGTCAAAGTTGAATTTTTTACCCTTTTTAGCACCCCCTAGTGGGGCCGTTTTTGACCCAATTTTTTTTCATTTGAAAACTTTGTAGACCATGCCATAAGGACCCTAAATATCAAATATGAATTTCATCTGACTGTTGGTTCATGAGAAGAAGATTTTTAAAGATTTACCTAATTTTACCCCCTTTTTCCCCCTCCTGAGGCCCCTATTAGGGCCACACCCTTTTTCTTCACAAACTTGAAGCGACTTCCCATGGGGATCTTTGTGCCAAGTTTGGTCAAAATCTATTCAGTGGTTCTTGAGAAGAAGTCGAATATGTGAAAAGTTAACGACGCACGACGCATGATGACAGATGATGCTTTGATTTTTAGGTCGCATGAGCCTTCGGCATCATCATGTGTTTAAATGTGACAGCTGACTTAAAAAAAAACAAATATTGTTCTTAAAAGGAATTACATCAGGGTCAGAAGGTCCAACATGGACAGTGCTCAGGCTCTAACAGTGTATCCACATTAGGAAGCAGTCTGTCCAATGACAGATCGTACAGAGGGCAAAAAAATGCAACCTCTTTGGAATACATAACAAAGAGACTGACCCACACAGGGCTCGAACCCATGGCCCATAGGTGGAGGGCTAGTGATAAAAGACTGTCAGACACCTTAACCACTCAGTCACCATTGCACCAGTCAAGTGTATCACAGTGATTTTGTTAACAAACATATCAGTTGATTTATCTTGATCCTACTATTTGTATGTAAACATCCTCTTCAGAACAGATAATGTAATAATGATATAATCATATCGTTTTGCTATCATTACCTCTCTTTGATGTTATACCTAGAAGCCATTAATCATGGTTTCCTATCTAAAATAAAGGAAAGTATTATTGGTCTGTACTCTGAGTAAACTTGGAAACCCAGAGGTAGTGAAATTAAAATTGATAAAGTACATTAAGCCACAAAGCTTTCCGTCCATAAATATCATGATTCAAGAATTTCTGAAGATGAAGATTGTTTCATTATAAACCAGTTTTAACGGCATCAAACTTACTGACCTCTAGTGATAAAGACTCCTGTCAAAGCCAAATCTTTTTCTTGTAGAAAAAGAATGTACTATGGTACATTCTACACAGTTATCATAACGGCCAAACGGCTGACCTGTAAGTAGTTTGAATATCCCTAGAAATATCCAAGGACTTTTCCATCAATTCATTTTATCCTACTGATCACCCTATATTATAACTTCATATGTTCATTTTTGTCAAGATATAATATTGTTGAAACACATAATGTTTTCGTTTGCTTGAAAAAAGTTGTCTGCTCTCTTCACAAGATCAAATATAGATATACATACTATGTAAAATGTGTCTATTACAAAACAAAAGACTGGTACAGTAAACATTCTATTTACACAGAAAGATTTATTAATGTAATAAAGCTTCACAGTCAAAGTAAAAGTCTTGTAACCTTGTATATATAAACATATCAATCTTATGTGACGATTTTCTACTGACAACTATTTCAGTCTGGTCATTTTTTAACGATCTTTCATTTCAGTTTCACACAGTAGCATCTGATAAATTTAAAGGATTCAGAAGTAAACAATGGAAAGTGTCTTCACTTTTCCCTCTTAATTCCTCACCGTTCACTTAATATCAGACTGAATGTTGAGTAATAAACTCCATAGTAGATGTCTAATATTAAACTCAATCTCAGTCCTAGAGAAATGGTATTGATAGCTTCCTCTTCAGTGTATGGTCAGAAAATGACCATAAGCCTTGACATTTGATTTTATTTTCCTTTCTCCATGACTAATGATATTATCTGTAAATTCTCCAGTGAAACAGTTGATATTCAATGATAAACCAATTTAAAGTTACATTCTTGTTGATATTCAATTATAAACCAATCTAAAGTTGCGTTCTTGTTCTTTTCTTTGCATCTCCATTTGTTTAGAAATATCGTCCACTTTTCTACCCAGAAGAGCTGAAAAGAAATTTGTCAATCTGAGAAAACAACTTCAAATTACCATGTAATGAAAGAACCTTCATAACTTTTTACAAAAATAATCTTATGGTACCTCTTATTATATCAGAAGCAGAAAAAAAATAACCACACAATATTATTTGATATGAAGGGTGAATATAAAATTACAATACTACATATCAGTATTATATAACCAGATTTAGTAAACTTCTGTACTGCCATACATGGACATGTTATACAAGAGTTTATTATAATAGGACTATTTCAAGCTAATTATGGGCCCCAATTACCAACTAAAATTACTTCAAATTTAAGCCAAACTCCAAAAATCTAAGCCAAACTCCCAAAATTTGCAATTTCCTTATAAAAATTTCCTTCTTAATTCACCAGTTTTCTTCCAAAAATGAGACAAATAATATCCCCTGAAGATTAAATATAGCACAATGCTGCGTGATTTTGTGAGTATGAACACATTAAGAATAATTCTAACTCCAGCACACCAATGCTATTTTCTGAGATACTAAATTACAAGAGACAGTTTTCTATTTGAGATAACAGTAAATGTATCCGTCTTTTTCCTTTATTTTAGAGTCAGAAAATACATACCTGTATTTTGATCAATCCATTGTAAGGAATCCATGTGCGAGTTTAAAATTTTTGTTATTTGTTGTGTCTGTAACAAGAACAATTTTGTACATGTTAACACAAGTTTACCAATGGTGTCAAAATTTTTTTTTTTTTTTCTCGCTAATATTCATTTTCAGGATTCTTTTGTAGTGACTAAGAATTTCAAGTAATTGGTGATTTCATAATTCACACAAGCTGTGAAGTTTTTGCTAATATACATAAAAATAATATAAAAGTTACCCATATGCACACAAAATTGACTAACAAATACACTCTTCTCTCCAATTAAGACTATTTCAGTAAAACATTTACTTGACCCTCGGACTTCAAAATAAATCACACCTCTTTATGATAAGGATTCCTTTCTATTACTTTGAAACAAATTATGAATTGAAGTATATGGGTGGTATCATTATTTAATCTTTAATTGTTCTTTTGAAACATGCGTCTTTTTCCTTTTTTCTGATGATGGTGGGCTAAGAAGTGGTCTAAATAATGACTAAATAAACTTAAATAAACATCTGTGGTATTCTGTTGTACATTTAATCAGGGTTTTCCATAAAAGCCGGTTGCCTGCCAATTTGACCGACTACTTTGATCATTTGGCCGCCTACACCAATCCAATTCTGTAATAATGTTCCGTACACGACTAAACGTACACGACAGGCCAGCCCCCATTCTTTCACTACACAGCCTACTACTAACAACATTATGGAAAACCCTGCATTTTAACCTTGTCTCACTGCAGATAACAATCTGTTCTTATTTGTTGTATTCTGTTGTACATTTTAACCTTGTCTCACTGTACATAACAATCTGTTCTTATTTGTTGTATTCTGTTGTACATTTTAACCTTGTCTCACTGTACATAACAACCTATTCTTATTTGTTGTATTCTGTTGTACATTTTAACCTTGTCTCACTGTACATAACAACCTATTCTTATTTGTTGTATTCTGTTGTACATTTTAACCTTGTCTCACTGTACATAACAACCTATTCTTATTTGTTGTATTCTGTTGTACATTTTAACCTTGTCTCACTGTACATAACAACCTATTCTTATTTGTTGTATTCTGTTGTACATTTTAACCTTGTCTCACTGTACATAACAACCTATTCTTATTTGTTGTATTCTGTTGTACATTTTAACCTTGTCTCACTGTACATAACAACCTATTCTTATTTGTTGTATTCTGTTGTACATTTTAACCTTGTCTCACTGTACATAACAACCTATTCTTATTTGTTGTATTCTGTTGTACATTTTAACCTTGTCTCACTGTACATAACAACCTATTCTTATTTGTTGTATTCTGTTGTACATTTTAACCTTGTCTCACTGTACATAACAACCTATTCTTATTTGTTGTATTCTGTTGTACATTTTAACCTTGTCTCACTGTACATAACAACCTATTCTTATTTGTTGTATTCTGTTGTACATTTTAACCTTGTCTCACTGTACATAACAACCTATTCTTATTTGTTGTATTCTGTTGTACATTTTAACCTTGTCTCACTGTACATAACAACCTATTCTTATTTGTTGTATTCTGTTGTACATTTTAACCTTGTCTCACTGTACATAACAACCTATTCTTATTTGTTGTATTCTGTTGTACATTTTAACCTTGTCTCACTGTACATAACAACCTATTCTTATTTGTTGTATTCTGTTGTACATTTTAACCTTGTCTCACTGTACATAACAACCTATTCTTATTTGTTGTATTCTGTTGTACATTTTAACCTTGTCTCACTGTACATAACAACCTATTCTTATTTGTTGTATTCTGTTGTACATTTTAACCTTGTCTCACTGTACATAACAACCTATTCTTATTTGTTGTATTCTGTTGTACATTTTAACCTTGTCTCACTGTACATAACAACCTATTCTTATTTGTTGTATTCTGTTGTACATTTTAACCTTGTCTCACTGTACATAACAACCTATTCTTATTTGTTGTATTCTGTTGTACATTTTAACCTTGTCTCACTGTACATAACAACCTATTCTTATTTGTTGTATTCTGTTGTACATTTTAACCTTGTCTCACTGTACATAACAACCTATTCTTATTTGTTGTATTCTGTTGTACATTTTAACCTTGTCTCACTGTACATAACAACCTATTCTTATTTGTTGTATTCTGTTGTACATTTTAACCTTGTCTCACTGTACATAACAACCTATTCTTATTTGTTGTATTCTGTTGTACATTTTAACCTTGTCTCACTGTACATAACAACCTATTCTTATTTGTTGTATTCTGTTGTACATTTTAACCTTGTCTCACTGTACATAACAACCTATTCTTATTTGTTGTATTCTGTTGTACATTTTAACCTTGTCTCACTGTACATAACAACCTATTCTTATTTGTTGTATTCTGTTGTACATTTTAACCTTGTCTCACTGTACATAACAACCTATTCTTATTTGTTGTATTCTGTTGTACATTTTAACCTTGTCTCACTGTACATAACAACCTATTCTTATTTGTTGTATTCTGTTGTACATTTTAACCTTGTCTCACTGTACATAACAACCTATTCTTATTTGTTGTATTCTGTTGTACATTTTAACCTTGTCTCACTGTACATAACAACCTATTCTTATTTGTTGTATTCTGTTGTACATTTTAACCTTGTCTCACTGTACATAACAAATTATTCTCATTTGTTAATAGATTTTTCTTCAGTTGTGTCAATTCCCTCAAATATTTTCAACAAACTGAAGTATTCTACAGATAGTCAGATATCTTAATGATGACGACAATGTCACAGCGAAACATTTTACAAGCTTTATTCTACCCTGCTTGAAAAATTTCACTACAAAAATGAATATTCTAATCTCTTGACCATGCCATAAATGCATCCATTGTAGACCATGAGAAACAGATCTATAGATGCTACAAACTAACCAAATCCAAGATTCAGAATTGTCGGTAACCTACAGTTCTGATGCCCACACTCTGTGTTAGAGGGTCAAGACCATAAGATATTTAGTAGACACTTGAGAGTATGTCAGTGACTCCTAAAATAAGCTTTTACTTTTACATTTGAAAGGATATGTCTATTTTACAGGGATCACTCTTGAGTAAAAATGCCGATGTAAACAGAATATCCTGATACACAATAGAAGGGAGAACTTACCGGGTCAGAGTTATCCTGGTTAGAGTTGGTCATGTTGAGGTGGTCTATAATCTCTTTCAAGTCCTGCACCATTCGCTTCAACTGGGCATCCACATTCTCTGCCAACTGATACCTAAAGACACGAAATATATAGCAAAATGTATGTCATTTGTTTTCCTTTGTACTAACCAAAACTCAGATCAGCTAAAAATATCAGTAACCATAGGCAATGGCTCCATGAACAGCCAGGGTCAATAGCCGGTGCTTTCCTCACAGAACATCATGCAGGAGGTGCACTGCATGCTAACTAGGGCCCTTATGGTTATATGCCTCGCCTAAACTAAAGATACAACAATGTGCCCAATGACACAGGAACTACAGTAGAGGACAATCTGTGATCTCCACTTACTGAGATCAGGAAAACTGTCCCTGGTAAGGATCAAATCATGCACTTCATATCTTCAACTGAGGCGTAAAGTCCGATACCCTACCAATTGAGATGTTGTAGTACTTACAAAAATGGGCTCAGTTACTTTATATATCTATGAATTGTTTGAAGATGTTAAAATATTTGATCATTGCGACCTTTTGAAACTGGGCCAACATCATTTATATCAGCAAACTTGACAGCATCTTATCCATGTGTTTTACTTGCACAGTATGACATCAGGTTTCGTGATTTTTCAGAAGAAAATGTTCATAGGTTTTAAACCCTGTAATCCTGAAAGTATGATATAACAGGGCAGTAAGATGCACCACATGTGTGACATATACAAATCCATAAAGCCTAGTTTGACTTACGTATGCTCCCGTTCCAAGTCAGCATGCTGTTGAAAGTTGATGTTGGGCTGCTGTTCAACAGACTTCTCCAGTGGGGTCAAAAGGTCAGATAGTTCTTGCTGTTGGGACTTGATAAAGTCCAGCTCATGGTCAAGTTTCTGTTGGTCGATCTTCACTCGCTCCATATCACTGTTCAAGGCAGAAATCTGTAATACATAAAAATAAGATTTCATGAAACATACAGGAGCAACTGTTCATATTTTGATGGAGATGGAGATAAATATCAAGTAATACAAAAAGAAACGGAAAAAATCAAGGTCTAACAGCACTTAAATCAGCAGAATATATAGGTCACAGTGACTTAACATTTGATAGTAATGAAGCACTCTGAGATATGTCCACTTTACTATGGTATACAGCCAGGAGTAGACAACTCTGAGGTAGAGTTTAATATTACTATGAGTTGATCCAAAGTAATGTATATCTCTTCAAAACAGTTGACTAGTCTCTTTGTAGATACGAATGCCCCTGCATTAATAAATAACGTGATCTTTGACCTTATAACACTTTAATAATAGGTCTAGCACTTGATGTTATGGTACTATTAAGTAAAATGATCTTAAGCTTATATAGTGAGGTTATCAGACTATGACAATGATTCTAAACAGGATGCAACGGAATGAGACATGGAAAGCACTATACACTCCCTCCATCTAAATTGTCTGGAGTCACACTACAAAATGGTACCTAGACAATTACCGTAAAAACCTGCGTAATGTGCGAAGGTACTTTTAGGGTGGAACATGGTAATAAAAAAAAAGCTTCTACTTGCATAATGTGTGCACCCAAAAATTCTGTCGAAATTAATTTCCAGGAGCCAAGAAATTGATCTTGGAATGTTCAGACATCAGACCAATAATATAAAGTCCAAAACTTGAAAGCATTCTCTTCAAAATTTGTTTTCATCTCATTTACTGACTTTTTAATAACCTTATGTTTAACTACAGCTTAATATTTGTGCATCGTCTTGTTTATTTTCTTTAGACATCAGACAATTTTCGCTGTCATTCACTTACCTATCCAATTATCCCTTAATTATCTTACCTACACAAGCACTTGTCTTCACACTACCCCTAATCGACAGTGTTCAGTGTCGAAATCACCGGTACAAGTCATTATCTATCTATTCATAATCAAACCAGGTAAATACAATCTCCAAGAGTCAACTTTTCTTTTGTGTCTCGCTGTCACATCGAGCGTGGGCCAGCTGACATAAATTGAGGTCCCAAATCTGTTTACGTAGGCAATTGGTATACAGAGTATAAAATGAAACTACGCAGAATGTACTGTAGACATGCTTATGTGTACTGTCAAAAGAAGAATAGTGTTTCTTTACACATTTTGGTAAGATAATCACACAAAGACTATTCCTTCTTTATCATTAGACGATATATGCTTTATAAACATCAATAAGATCAATAAATAAGGAATTGAATCCATAGTCTGATGATAAGTCTCAATCCACATTCCACATACTAATATGTTAACTCTAACTTCCACTAATACGCATGAAAACAGACATGTGCCCATGGCTTCTGCTTCGTTGGGATAACTGACGTGAAGGAAAATAAAATGAAACCTGTCAATTTCTTAAGACAGTTGAACGTGTAAGTGTTTCCAAAGATAATTACATTATAATCACCATATTTTCAATATCCCAAACAGGTCACTGTCTTTGTAAATCATTAGTTTTCTGTCTGTCTAGTTGCTATCACGTTTTCAAACAATTTGTCCAGGTTTTGCATGATATTCACACGGATTGTTTGCATTAATATATACAGTAATTATCTTATTCACTATTTTGATTCATAAATAAATCGTAAAATCCTTTGTGAGACAGTTTTGAGTACCGGATAATCCTAAAAAAATGATGGTGGCTAAAAGAATCTTTGATTTTTCCATGGAAAAAAACTCTTGAAAATCCAACAGCTAGGCAATGTGCGCACCCCAAACTTTGGACTTTTATTTTCCAAAAACAAAAAACATCCACATTATGTGGGTGTTTATGGTAAGTCTTTTATCTTAGATTTTCTCTGCAAGTTAACACACCTTCTCGCCATTGTCTATAAGTAACCGGTCCCAACCGTTGACCTGTGTGGCTTGCTCCAGGAAGTCCTTCTCCTGTTTATCCAGCTCTGACATCCATTTGTTGATGTTGTCCTCCAGTTGCTGATATGTAATCTGTTTCTGTGTAGCTCTGAAACAATTCAAGGTCAACATTCACTTAAAACAGACAACAGGTAAACGTTCCAGTATAACAGACAACAGGTGAACATTCCAGTATAACAGACAACAGGTGAACATTCCAGTATAACAGACAACAGGTAAACATTCCAGTATAACAGACTCTGACAACATTTGTAACAGATGTTGTAAACATTCCAGTATAACAGACATGTAACAGGTGTAACATTCCAGTATAACAGACAACAGGTGAACATTCCAGTATAACAGACAACAGGTGAACATTCCAGTATAACAGACAACAGGTGAACATTCCAGTATAACAGACAACAAGTAAACATTCCAGTATAACAGACAACAGGTAAACATTCCAGTATAACAGACAACAGGTAAACATTCCAGTATAACAGACAACAGGTAAACATTCCAGTATAACAGACAACAGGTGAACATTCCAGTATAACAGACAACAGGTGAACATTCCAGTATAACAGACAACAGGTAAACATTCCAGTATAACAGACAACAGGTAAACATTCCAGTATAACAGACAACAGGTAAACATTCCAGTATAACAGACAACAGTAAACATTCCAGTATAACAGACAACAGGTAAACATTCCAGTATAACAGACAACAGAACATTCCAGTAAACATTCCAGTATAACAGACAACAGGTAAACATTCCAGTATAACAGACAACAGGTAAACATTCCAGTATAACAGACAACAGGTAAACATTCCAGTATAACAGACAACAGGTAAACATTCCAGTATAACAGACAACAGGTAAACATTCCAGTATAACAGACAACAGGTAAACATTCCAGTATAACAGACAACAGGTAAACATTCCAGTATAACAGACAACAGGTAAACATTCCAGTATAACAGACAACAGGTAAACATTCCAGTATAACAGACAACAGGTAAACATTCCAGTATAACAGACAACAGTAAACATTCCAGTATAACAGACAACAGGTAAACATTCCAGTATAACAGACAACAGGTAAACATTCCAGTATAACAGACAACAGGTAAACATTCCAGTATAACAGACAACAGGTAAACATTCCAGTATAACAGACAACAGGTAAACATTCCAGTATAACAGACAACAGGTAAACATTCCAGTATAACAGACAACAGGTGAACATTCCAGTATAACAGACAACAGGTAAACATTCCAGTATAACAGACAACAGGTAAACATTCCAGTATAACAGACAACAGGTAAACATTCCAGTATAACAGACAACAGGTAAACATTCCAGTATAACAACATTCCAACAGGTAAACATTCCAGTATAACAGACAACAGGTAAACATTCCAGTATAACAGACAACAGGTAAACATTCCAGTATAACAGACAACAGGTGTACAGTCCAGTATAACAGACAACAAGTAAACATTCCAGTATAACAGACAACAGGTAAACATTCCAGTATAACAGACAACAGGTAAACATTCCAGTATAACAGACAACAGGTAAACATTCCAGTATAACAGACAACAGGTAAACAAACATTAAACCAGTATAACAGACAACAGGTAAACACAACAACAGGTAAACATTCCACTATAACAGACAACAGGTAAACATTCCAGTATAACAGACAACAGGTAAACATTCCAGTATAACAGACAACAGGTAAACATTCCAGTATAACAGACAACAGGTAAACATTCCAGTATAACAGACAACAGGTAAACATTCCAGTATAACAGACAACAGGTAAACATTCCAGTATAACAGACAACAGGTAAACATTCCAGTATAACAGACAACAGGTAAACATTCCAGTATAACAGACAACAGGTAAACATTCCAGTATAACAGACAACAGGTAAACATTCCAGTATAACAGACAACAGGTAAACATTCCAGTATAACAGACAACAGGTAAACATTCCAGTATAACAGACAACAGGTAAACATTCCAGTATAACAGACAACAGGTAAACATTCCAGTATAACAGACAACAGGTGTACAGTCCAGTATAACAGACAACAGGTAAACATTCCAGTATAACAGACAACAGGTAAACATTCCAGTATAACAGACAACAGGTAAACATTCCAGTATAACAGACAACAGGTAAACATTCCAGTATAACAGACAACAAGTAAACATTCCAGTATAACAGACAACAGGTAAACATTCCAGTATAACAGACAACAGGTAAACATTCCAGTATAACAGACAACAGGTAAACATTCCAGTATAACAGACAACAGGTAAACATTCCAGTATAACAGACAAGTAAACATTCCAGTATAACAGACAACAGGTAAACATTCCAGTATAACAGACAACAGGTAAACATTCCAGTATAACAGACAACAGGTAAACATTCCAGTATAACAGACAACAGGTAAACATTCCACTATAACAGACAACAGGTAAACATTCCAGTATGAACATTCCAGTATAACAGACAACAGGTGAACATTCCAGTATAACAGACAACAGGTAAACATTCCAGTATAACAGACAACAGGTAAACATTCCAGTATAACAGACAACAGGTAAACATTCCAGTATAACAGACAACAGGTAAACATTCCAGTATAACAGACAACAGGTAAACATTCCAGTATAACAGACAACAGGTAAACATTCCAGTATAACAGACAACAGGTAAACATTCCAGTATAACAGACAACAGGTAAACATTCCAGTATAACAGACAACAGGTAAACATTCCAGTATAACAGACAACAGGTAAACATTCCAGTATAACAGACAACAGGTAAACATTCCAGTATAACAGACAACAGGTGAACATTCCCATAACAGCAACATGTTAACAGACAGGTGACAACAGGTGTTACAGTACAAATATCATCTCAAAAATTATACAGAAAATGGGCTTATCATGATATATGCAGGATGCTCTAATCTGAGTGTTAAAACAGATAAAAATTTCACAATGTGCTCTGCTACATGATAAATTATAAAATTCATAAACTTATCATAAACTGGCCAATTTTCAGAAGCCTCTTAGGACTCTGATCATAAACAAGAGGCCTAGAGGCCTTGATGGTCACCTGAGATAAGCAATGTTGAATATAAAGGTTAAAGAATAGTTATCAAGTATCATGAAACAGAAATTGTGACAATGAATATAGACAGTGTCAATACATGCATTCCATCAAAACTGTCATCCTATACTGATAATTCTTATTAAGTTATTTCCAGTGGGAAATAACAAACATTACACTCAAAAAAAAATTTTTTTCTATGAAAATTACAGTAAAGTCTAAAAAAATTCCTCCTCAGGAAGAAATGTGAGACTCATTTTAGTAATTAAAACACCTTAAGATGCTTCACTTCATGAAGAACATTTGATTCTACCATATCTGGGTCTTGAGAAGAAGATTTTTGAAATTTAAGTCAGTTTGACCCCTTTTGGCACCGCCAATCAGCCCCAGGGGGTCATTCAGGATCAAAATGGGAATACCATCAAGCCGTCACCTTCACTCAAAATTCCAACCAAATCTGAAATATTCCCAATGGAAATTAACCAAATTATGTTCAAAAATCTAGTTTCCCTATACAGAAACCCTGGGGCCATGAAATTCACAACTTTGGTAAACCTTCTTAGAATGCTTCCATTCAAGAAGAGTATTTGATTCTACCATATCTGGGTTTTGAGAAGAAGATTTTTGATATCTGAGTCAATTTTGGCCCCGCCCCTCAAGCCCTTGGGGTATTGGGACTGTATAAAGAACAGTTTTGAAACTTTTGAGACTTTGTCTCAGGTGACCTAAAAATGTCATGGTGGATATATATGTACTTTGAAAATTATAGTAATGGATAATTACGTTGTAGCTGTCGCTCCTGTTGGTGCTGTGAATCCTTGTACTGTAGTCTTTGGTGCTGAAGATCCCTGGAGAGTCAATCCCGTAGCAGCCGAAGTTGTAGCAGCTGATGTTGATGGCAATTTCAGTCCTGTGCTTGCTGCAGTACTAACCCCTAGTGTCAGGCCTGTAGAAGCTTGTGTGCTCCCTCCTAATGTCAGACCTGTGGATACAGCAGTGCTGCCACCAAGAGTGAGACCGGTAGAAGCAGGAGTGCTGCCAAGAGTCAAGCCAGGTGTACCAACACTGCCAAGTGTCAAACCAGGTGTACCAACACTGCCAAGTGTCAAACCAGGTGTACCAACACTGCCAAGTGTCAAGCCAGGTGTACCAGCACTGCCAAGTGTCAAGCCTGGTGCAGCATTACTGCCTCCAAGTTTCAGGCCTGTAGAAGCTGGAGTGCTGCTACCAAGTGTCAGACTAGGTGCAGCAGTGCTGCCACTAAGTGTCAGGCCAGGCGCAGCAGTGCTGCCACCAAGTGTCAGACCAGGTGCAGCAGTGCTGCCACCAAGTGTCAGGCCAGGCGCAGCAGTGTTTCCACCAAGTGTTAGGCCAGGTGCAGCAGTGCTTCCACCAAGTGTCAGACTGGGAGCAGCAGAGCTGCCACCAAGTGCCAAGCTAGGAGCAGCAGTGCTGCTACCAAGGGTAAGTCCAGTTGATTGATTTACTGGAGTACTAAGAAGTCCAGGTGTACCTTATAAAATGTCAAAAAAAAAGGCATTTAAATTTCCTGTCAGAGCAAATTCATTCTCACAGTCAATGTTTACCAGTCAAACTATCAAAGAAACAATAATTTCCAAAATTGTATCAGTGAATGTTTTTGATCTTTAAAAAATAAACATCTTTTTTATTTTCTGATAATTTTGACAAATACATATACATCTATTTTACATTTAGATAAGTTATCTATTAGAAGTAATCTGTACCAGTGCATGGATCTACAAGGTAATTCAACTACATGTTGACTTCTGAAATAACAATACAGGGAGGAGGGGTTAGCCTTGGGAACTTGGGGACTGTATAAATAAGGGACACATTGTCATCTAAATATACTTATAAATTTCTTAAGAAATGTAAAACTGATATCTTTCACTTATTGTTATAAGACATTCAGGAGATAGCCTGTTGCCATCCTGCAATGACACTGTTAACCTACTCAAATAAGAAGTCAAACTGAAGTTTTTGTTTGAACAGATTCAACAGCTGATGTTATATACCTGTGGTAGCTGGCGCAGTGGTGGAGCTTATCGTGTTGGCGAAGTTAAATGGTGAAGCAGTGGCTGTTGGCTGGCGAATTCCTGTGGCTGATGTGTTCGCTGTTGCTGAAGGAAAGAAAAAAGCATGTAACTGTTATTCTTCCAGTTTGTCAAAAAATCCAATATAACCTTATGAGCAAAGGATAAATTTTCTTTGTTAAGAGATTAAGTTCTAATTATGGGGAATCTGTCATCAAAACAGCTTTATATCAAAAGAAATGATCAAATTATAAAATATCATTATCAACATCAAAAACAATATTACCAGTGTTGAAGTTGAAACCTGCTCCGAGGCCAGTTGGAGCTGCAGTAGTGCCAGCAGAGCTAGCAGTTGTGCCCTGAGTACCAGCTGTCCCAAATGAGAATCCTGTTGATGCAGTGTTGGCAGCGCTGGTTTGTTGACCAAAATTGAAGCCTGTCGCAGCAGGTGTTGATGCCGCAGATGGTGTCCCAAACTTAAATCCCCCAGCGGTTGATGCTTGTGTGGAAGGTGTAGCAGTATTACCAAATGTAAACCCTGCAACAAATCATTTAAACATAATTTTTGGTAATTGCATTGAATGGCATATGTCATGAACTTTTGGTGGAAATAGTATCCTTCAATAAACCCAGAGAGCCAAAACAGTAATTTCCTTCAAATGTCAATTTGCTGGACTTTTCACAGGACAACAGAATGATATTTTCTTGCAAACCTGAACAAAAGGTCTTGACTTAACTTAAACTGCTGCATCCGAATGGGAGATAGTACCTATGGCACATTTTGGTACACAACAGTCAGTGTCTCTGTCTCACCTAATTTTTCAGGTCAACCTGATATTGGCCGTTGGATTTGCCTACTCAAATCTTGGAAATGTTAGAATCACCTTATATTTCCTGTCTTTTGTTCAGTATTTGAAAAATTTAGAATCAAGTTTTGGGTCTAATTTGGTCACAATAATGTTCAAACAAAACATAGAACATCATCTTAATATATGCAAGTTTGATAAGTGTACAAAAGAATTGAATGGAAGGTCTTTTTCTTTGATGGCCCTCGAAAACATCCTGCTAGCATTGCTTTTGAAGGACTATGACCCAACATTGGAAGAATAGATTTGAGGCTGGCGACACTGAATTCTCTGTCATCCAAGGTTTTTGATATTGTAAAATTTGGACAGTATTGTTTAACATGAAATATGCACTGAAAAAATTACATTTACATGTAGGTCCAGACCAAATAAAAGTGTTTCCTGTAACATGTTGGAAAAATTTAGGGTTGACAGGCAAAAGAAAATTTTTTACAAAAAATGTTGTATACTTTATGTAGGAATTGAATGGGATCTTGTCTTTAACAGTGCTTCTTAAGACTTAAGAACTTTTAGGTATGTACAAAATACTTGGGTATATATGTGTGGTAATTACCTGAAACAAGAAAATATTTTTGGTTTAGTCTAGGTTATAGACAGTGAACAGGGTCCTAATTTATTGGTATTAATGAAATACAAGGACAGATTTGAGAATATGTCAAATTGACATGTATTGTACTTGCAAAAATATTTGATATATTCTGCAATAGGCTCTGACATTCAACATATCACCCTGTCTAGCTGGGTCAAACTCTGCAAATCTTTACAACACTTTCAGCTTCTAACCAGTAGGGGACAACATTTACTTTAAAAACTGTTAAAGATATATCGATACATACCACCACCTCCTTGTGTCGGTGGCTGTTGGCCACCACCAAACATGCTTGGTATCTGAAATAGGAGAGACCTCTATGATATAAGCATATATTAACATAAGAAAATCGCGATATAAATGTGAAACGGCATTTGAATGATGGCGCGCTAAAATAAAACACGTAATGTACAGAACATCTTGATCCCAGTGCAGTTTTAATCTGTTAATTGCTATATGTTAACTATGAAAAGTATGCATTTTTATTGCTGTAAATTTAGACCTTAATCACGTTAATACCACTAGATGTCTGAGAGTCTGGCACGCCTCATCTCTAGGGGTCCGTGCAATTCGTCGTGTTAATATCAGTTCGGGAAAACTCCCAACCGAATTCTGAGTTTTCCAAACTGATATACCACGTTGTGTATGGAGTCAGCTCTCATGATCCAATACCGTCGTGGCCATTAAACATGACAACAGTATTGTGATACATTATCAAATTACGTGTCAAATTAAGCATTGATAAAATAATATTGTTACTTATCGACATTAGGCCTCGTCGTAGCAGACATTATTACCTTTTAGATGTTACTGGATGGCGGGATTCCCCTTTAACCAAAATACTGGAACATCCGTATCGATCAAAAGCTTCACATGCTCGAACAAAGAAAAGCTTTAATTTAACCATGATTAAAAATAAGGGCTGTACTAAAATTGAGAATTTACATCCAAACTGCCCAGAATATTCAAGTATGACCATTCATACATACACCAGAACATGAATTTAATTAATTGATAACATAATTCCAGGAATATAGGAATGACATGGTACTATAACCACGGACTTAGATATATATCTAAGTCTATGCAATAACCCTCCATAAACTTAGAGTTACTTAGAGTAGTTTTCTGGTACAGGTCCTTAAATGACCTCTTCACCAGACTAGATGTGTATTCCCTGCCCTCTTCTATTCGCGTCAATTCCTAGTGTTGCTTTGAAATCATATAAAATATATTGATTTTCCCAATACTTGTCCAGTCTATTTTTAAAAGTGTTCTTTGTTGGTGCACTGACACCATTCTCAGGTAAGTTGTTCCATACGTTGACAGATCTAACAGTGAAGTAATTTTTTCTCAAGTCCGATTTGGTGTGTTGTGGATAAATTTTTAAAGAATTCCCTCTTGTTCCATGACGTGCCGCTGTATCCTTCTATAATGCTACAAAATTACTTGCTTCAGGATCGTAATGACTGTGGATTATCTTGTACAGCTCGATCATGTCTCCCCGTAGTCTCCTTTATGATAATGTAGGTAATTTAAGTTTTTTCAGTCTTTCTGAATAGCTCAACTCCTTGAATCCTGGTAACTGTTTTGTTGCCCTTCTTTGTACCCCTTCTAGCTTCTCAATGTGTTTCATTTTATATGGTGACCACACAGGACTGGCAAAGTCTAAGTGAGTTCTTACTAAGGTCTTGTATAACGGAGTAAAAGAATCTGCATTCAAATATTGGAAAGTTCTTCTAAGGAGTGCAAACATAGAATTTGCTTTATTTACTTTTTCACATATATGTCTCTCGAAGTTTAAGTTATTATCTATGACTACTCCAATGTCTTTTTCTGTTTCTACTCTCTGTAACGATTTTCCTTTTAGTGTGTATATAGTTTCATGATCAGCAAGCTGAGATTTTTTTACATATGTGCATATGTTTACACTTGTCCGGATGAAATCTCCAAAGCCAGGTGTCACTCCACTGGGACATTGTGTCTAGGTCCTTCTGTAGAACGGTATTGTCATTCTTGTCTGTAATGATTCTGAATATTTTTGTATCGTCTGCAAACAGGTAAACGTCTGATTTCACAATTTCTGGTAGATCATTTATAAATATAACAAATAATATAATATAAACTTTATTTGTTTTATAAATATAACAAATAATGTAAGCGCGCGAGGGGCCTTATTGTGGGAGGAAATATAACAAATAATGTCGGGCCCAACACTGATCCCTGTGGTATGCCAGATGTAACATCAGTCCAGTCTGAATTTTCACCATTTATTGATACTCTTTGTTTTCTATTGTATAAGAATTCTTTTGTCCATCTCAGTAAGTTTGTGTGAATTCCATAAGATTGTAACTTACTCAGTAGTCTTTTATGTGGCACAGTATCGAATGCTTTCTGATAATCCATGTACACACAGTCTACTGGGTATCCATTATCTAATGCATGTGTCCATTTGTTTAGAACTTAACACAGCACAAAAAGGTATTACCGATTTTCCGTGAAATATTTTATAATTATACTATGAATCTACAAATCAACCACTCGATTCTGCCCGATCCTGTAAATCGTCTTTCAGTCCTGTGTGGCATATGACGTTATATGAGGAAACTCAATATCTTTTTTGGCCGTTTTGATCAATGTGAAACTATTTTATTTTAACTAAGATCATTTAACACCACAGTAATTACACTAAAATCAATTTACTGCCCAAATTCAACATATAAACCACACACAAACAAAATTTTACTGAATTACCAGTCATACAAAGAACAACAATCATGCCAGACTTCACATCGCAGAAAGAAATATAATATGTTCAATGAGATAATAATGACAATCGTAAAAATTCTTCACAATTTTGAGCAGCCTGAATCTCCCGAGACCCCGGTAGGACGATTTACATGATCGGGCAGGATCGGGCAGGACCGGACAGAACAGGAGTAGAATAGTGCCGTTTAAATGATTTTAATTAATTTCTTTTGCATTGATATCATCATATATTAAACATTATGAATAGGACGGTTTATATGTTGAATTTGGGCAGTAAATTGTGTTAAATGATCTTAGTTAAAATAAAATAGTTTCACATTGATCAAAACGGCCAAAAAAGATATTGAGTTTCCTCATATAACGTCATGTGCCACACAGGACTGAAAGACGATTTACAGGATCGGGCAGAATCGGGGCAGAACAGTGCCGTTTCAATGATTGTAATGGATTTCTAATCCATCTTAGTTAAAATATTAAAGTTTCATATTGATAAAAAAAACGGCCAAAAAATATATTGTGTTCTTTTCACATAACCGTAATGTGACACACAGGACCGAAAGACGATTTACAGGATCGGGCAGAATCGAGTGGATGATTTGTAGATTCATAGTATAATTATAAAATATTTCACGGAAGATCGGTAATACCTTTATGTGCTGTGTTAACAGTTTTAGCAATCCCCGCGCCCAATCCCCCAACAACAGTAAAGAATAATGACTATTCTTAGTTATATTTAAAATCTCAGGAAAAATTGTTGTGCTGGTATGTTGTCGGCAGTAAGTAAAATAAGTCAGGGATGTTTTCCTTTGCGTTCCATTATTTACTGATATAATGTAGAAAGTCATCTGCTACGGTGATAATGTATTGATAATGCTGCTAGTAAAGTAACATTATCAGGAATATATGACCGCATTGTCCAGGTCTCGGGATCATGGACCCTGCTTTCATGACCCCTTTTTGGGGGGATGGGGGTGTTTTTTGTTTTTTGTTTGTTTGTTTTTTTTTGTTTTTGTTTTTGTTTTTTTTTTTGTTTTTTGTTTTTTTTTGTTTTTTTTTTTTTTGCTTTTGTTTTTCTTTTTTAATGTCTGTTTGTACCTAAACAACACTATACAAATGTTATGGTAATACTTTGCTAGTCCTTTGTCATTGAAGTGGACAAGGTCTGTCGCATACAGCGCTGGATATGGAATGCTCGTCTTTACTACCCTGTCCTTGAACACCTTGAATAAATTCTTGTTCACTGACGACTGCTGGTGTTTGAAATGTGGCATGGACAAGTCATCCTTTAATTTACCACAATTTCCTGAATTAGAACTGTCCTCATCCCTGACGCTTCCATAACATCTACTAAAAGCTTGAGACTGTCTATGATATCTGCTGGATATGAGTCGGTTGAAATGTCATTCCCTCCCAAGCAAACAAACACGTCAGCCTTAAAATCTAATAGTTCCTCAAGGTACTTCCTAAATCTTGGCACAGAAAACACTTTATTCGCTACCATGCCACCTTCACCTAAAAAGGCTCATAAGGTACGTTAACAAATGATAACAATAATGATTCAGTTTTAAACGAATTTAAAGACATTAACCACTTTTCGGACCAAAGTCTTAGTTGCTCTAAATCAAAATTTATAACTTGCTCCAATTCTGCCAAATTTCTGGTTGAGTGTACCGATGCTGTATCACCAGCGAATAGTCGAGCAACTGATAGTAAATTATCTGCAATACCATTAATATAAATAAGAAATAACATCGGCCCTAAAACTGACCCCTGTGGAACCCCAGCTTTAAGAATTCTTTCAGAAGTACACTTTTTCATAACAACTGATTGTTTTCTCTCAGAGAGGCAGTGTTCAAACCATTTCAGTAACTTTCCCGTAATTTCATAATTTTCAAGCTTTAAAATTACTCCCCTGTGCCAAACACGATCGAAAGCTCTCGAAAAATCACAAAAAATAATCGCTGTATGTTCTTTGTTATCTAGAGCAGTTAAAAACAAATTTTGATCAACAAGATAATTATATATATGTTTATAAACGGTACGTTAAAAACTTTCCCAATACAACTTAATAACGAAATCGGTCTGTAGTTTTCTGGAAGCTAAGAATTACCTTTCTTGTAAAGTGGCATAACATAAGCAAATTTCCAAGGACATAGAAATTGACATGTATTAAGAGACTCGTTAAATAAAATCGAAAGCGGTACTGCAATCTCATTGATTGCTAGTTTTAACATTGTATGACTTATTCTGTCTGGACCTAAAGCTTTGTTTATTTTTTTTAAAATTTGAATAATATCTACTACGTCTTGGGGAATGACAATTAACTCACCAATAATAGTTTGTTCGCTTCTCGAAATAGGGCAAGGATTCATTAGAGTCATCAAGGTCGGTAACAGATTGAAAATAATTGTTTAATATTTCACATTTATCATCGTAAACTATATTATTAGATGTATTATCAAATAAAGAAAAACTACCTGTATTTAACTTTTCTTTAATTAACATAATCTTCCAATACGTTCTTGGACTATTACTACTGTTTGCTATGGCATCATCAATAGTTTCATAAAATGTTCCCTCGCATACTTTATCATATTGCTAACCTTATTTCTAGTTTTTTTTTTATTATAATTTGCGAGAGATAACTCTGTTTTGTTTGTTTGATTTTTTTGCTGATAAAAACTCTACGCAATTTGTTTATAATTCGCATATATATTACCTTATATTGCCATTCATCCAACATTTATCATTTAGTCTAACGGTTACATGTTTTGATGGAATTTTTTTTTTTCAAATATTTTCAAAATTTCATTAGTAAACCTTTTGCATTTATTATCGATTATACTGGTTTAATATATCGAGTAACTGGTGTATACGGTTAGACATTAAGTCAATGTTTACGTCACCTGTTACGATAACGTTTGGTGTAATAGTAAGAGCTAGATCTAACGAATGTTTTAAACGACCCCATACACCAGATGCTACATTTGGCCACGAGGGTCTGTAAACACAACCCAAAACATACTTTACATTTTCTGAAACTAATTCTATCCAAATTGACTCATCATTTAA